GCCAGCCCGCGCCCCCGCGTGCGTGCGTGCGTGCGCGCCGGCCCCGGAGTCCCGCTTCGGCTGCTTCGGCTTCTCGCTACCGCTCCAACTCAGGCTTCTTCGGCTCCGGCTCCCGCTCCGCCTCGGGCTCCGGCTTCCACTCCGGCTTCGCGCCGGCCGCTCGCTCGCTCGCTCGCTCGCTCGCACGCTCGCACGCTCGCTCGCACGCGCGTGCGCCGCTCCCTCCGTCCCTTGGTCCTTCAGTCCCGCGCTCCCTCACCACTCGCCGGCTGCGCGAGGAAGGGGGCGGCCCGGGCTCCCGGTGTGGGGAGGGCTGTTTATTTGGGAGGAGGAGGAGGAGCGCGTAGCCGCAGCCAGCTCACTGGTCGGGATCCTCCGTCCCGCCACTGTGGCAGCGCCGGGAAGGCGGGGAGAGAGAGAAAGGAGGGAGGGAAGGAGGGACCTGGATGTGTGGGGACTCGGGCCGCCCGCGCGAGAGGAGGCTGGGGCGAGGGGGCGTGGCTACGCCCCCCTCGGCAATCGCCGCCCCCCTCCGCGCGGGCCGCCCGCGGGAGGCCGGGAAGCGATCGGAAAAGCTCGGGAATCTCCGGGATGCTCTGGGAGGCACGCAGAGGGAACGGTCCGCCTCTTTTAGGGCGGCGGCCGGAGGGCGGAGCTGGAAGGGCCCGAGTAAGGGGCTGCGGCTCCCGCTAGTTGTATTAGTTGTACGAAGTGGTGACCTGGTATCTCCCATCGGGCTGCCTGGGATATGGGGAAGCAGAAGGGAGCTCGGGGAGAGGAGAGTCTCGTTGCCTGCTTCCTCTCCCGCCCAAGAACTGGGAAGTCCAGGAATGAAGGCTCTCATATGTGCTTTTCTGAGAAATTTTGCTATGAATAGAATGATCGCATCCCTGATGATTTTAATAGTGCCTGATGTTTATAAGAGCTTTACGGCTTACACAATGCATGCACGGACCCGTTTTGAGCCTGGTAATAGAAGGCATGCTTTCGGTCCCAATGGATGAACCTGAATTTGTTCAAGTCCTGGAGCAGAAACGTGGTCGATCCAGATCGCATTCTCTTGTTTTCACTCCTTATTGCCTGAGTAGCCCTTCACTGCTTATCAGCTTCATGCAGTTAGGTCTGTCCAGTAGGTTCTCTACCTGATTGTAAATGGAAACTGCGTCTGCCTCTCTGGGTCCCAAACTGTGGCATGTACATTGTGAAAGAATGTTGCACAATAGCCTAGCTTCTAGCCTTTCCCTCTCTTGCTACTTTAAACAAGTTCGGTTTTCTCTTTGGATCCCAACGGCAGTATCTGTAAAGCAATCGTTTGGGTCAGAGATTCCCAACCAGGGAAGGATTGGTACCTTTCCAACACCTCCCATTTCCACATTTGTCATTTGATAAATTTTATTTTTCACAAATGGAGGGCTGCTGCTGACTTCTAGTGAATAGAAGCTAGCAATGTTCGAAACTTGACTGTGCACAGGACAGTCCCCACAAGAGAGAGTTGTCCAAATCAGTCCAGAGATTGAGAAATCCCGGGTTAGATGATTTCTAAGGTCACTTGGAACAACTATGACTCGGCCTTTGAACTTGAATTAAGCACCTAAAAATGGACAGAGTGGTCAAGATCTCTGCTTCAGAGTCAGACCAGTCCAATGAGGCTCGATTTGCAGGCTTATTGGAAAAGTCTGCACAACTTGCCTTGAAGCTGGGTTTTCCTACGGAGTACATTGTATGTTTTTAGGCTGCAATAGCTCAGTTATTTACAAGTCTTGACACCTTATGCAAGGAAGCCAATTGGTGGCTCTTGTCCCTCAGCTTCTACACCTAAAATTAGCATAGTAATAGTATTTTTCAAAAGAATTACTGTGAAGACCAAATGAGTTATCAGCATTAAGAACATTGATCATATTATGACTTGAATCAAAAATGTCCTCCAGAGGCTTATGTGGTAACAGCTGATAGACTGTGCCAAGTATTTGGATCATGAGGACCTAATTACTAGGGCCTAATGACCCACACAGTGGATTAATGCATTGATTAATTCATAATGGGGGTGGTGGTAAAAACAGTGGACAGGGAGGACGGATTGGAGGAAGTGGGTTGCTAGGGCCATGATCTGAAAGCCTGTCTCTAGTCCCCAGCCTCTTCCTGTTTGTCTCCATCCTTCTCCAGTCTCCCTGGAGGTGAGTTTGTTTGCTCCACCACCGAATCCTTGCTGTGGTGTTTTTTTATACCTCACCTCCCTCACTCAGACCCAGGAGCCACAGAGGGACTGATCTGAAATCTTGAAACAAAATAAATCCTTCCTCCTTTACATTGTTTTCTCAGATACTTTGTCACAGAGACACAAAATAAACTAACAAGTTCAGGATGGCCAGTGCACGCAGGTGTTAGTTACTAACATTATTGCCATTGTGAATTTTCATTTTTTTAAATTCAGATATCTCTGTGTGTGTGTGTGCGCGCACACACAGGCATGTGTGCAGGTAGGCATGTGAGTGCAGGCATCTACATAGCACAGCACACATGTGGAGTTCAGAAGACAACCTTTAGGAGCTGGTTCTGTCCTTCCACTGGGTCCCTGAGATCAGGATTTCTCAGCAAGCGCTCTTACCCACCGAGCTGTCTTCCTGGCCCAATCATTATGATTTTCTTCACATTCTAGGTCAGATCGACCAAATAAATGTTGTTTATCAAAATCAAAAACTGTCGTTATCACTATTCTTAAGGTTGTTAAGTGTTTTGTGTGCACAGTGAGCTAGCAGGATCTTTTAGTGGGTAGAGAGAGTCTTGAATAATCCATTCAAGGAAGAGCACTTAGTTCAACTTAATGAGCGTATGTCCTTTCCATACCGATGGAAACACTGCGAGCTCATGCTTAGCCGGTATTTCTGGATCTGACTGTGGCAGTTAGCAGACACCTGAGGAGTGAGAACCCTGGCTGAGTTATCAAGGGTGACTCCAGGAGAGCTGCAGTGACCCATCTTGCCTTCAGATGTCCAGCAAAAGAAAAGAGTTAATTATTATTGAGGTTGCTACATAAGGTGGCTTGGATAAGGCTTCATAAGATTTCAGATGGGCTGGACAAAGCTCCACAAGTCACCCAAGGGTGTAACCACTAATGTTAAAGCCAATTATTCCTTTTTACTAAGCCTTACATCCCTCCTTTGTAAGATGACAACAATAATAGTCATGATGTTTTTCTGAGCACTAAATGAAAGCACTTAACAGAATGCCTAACGTAGTAACTGTTTAATAGGTAGTAATTATTTGTCATCTAATTTATACGGTGCCAATAAGCTACTGGCCAGGAGCTCATGGGTCTGGGAGTGGAAACCCAGACATCTCTTACTTAATACGACTGTTTGCACCACCAAAGGGGAAGTCCATCTGCCTCCCAGCTCACTGTGCTTAACTGGACAGCTCCCACTTAAATTAAAGGTCTCCTACAGGCGTACCCTACAACAACAGCTGGAGCCTGATCCTGTCCACCCAACCGTATAGCCTGAAGGAAAATCAAGGTGCCTCGGGGCCGACAATGGCCTTTTTCTTTCAAGCCTAAGCACATAAATGGTTGGTTTCTTGAATTTTGTTACTTGCTAAACTGCTATTTTTAGAATAATTCTCCCCTCCCTACCTGCTTTGCCAAAATTCTATCATCTAAATAATGTCAGATCCTTGAAAAATAAGATTTGGGAGCAAAGCTGCTTATTACTCAAATTATAGCTACTCAGGTAGTACTAAAGTCCCTAAGAAGTAGAGCGGCAAAGTGGAGGAGTGTTTGGATGATTTTGGAACAAAGAGAAACAGCACCATGGCTTCGTAAACACACATAAAGCATTTAGGGAACAAGAAGAGACTAAAGGGGGACTGGAAAGACGGCTCAGCAGTTAACAACAGCATTTGCTGCTCTTATAGAGGACCTGGGTTTGATTTTCAGCACTTACATGGCAGCTCACAACTGTCTGTAACTCTAGTTTCAGGGGATCCAACACCCTCTTGTAGCCTTCCAGGACAATACACACACATGGTGCACAGACATATATGCAGGCAAAAAAAAAATTTTTTTTTTTTTTGGTTTTTCCAGACAGGGTTTCTCTGTGTAGCGCCTGTCCTGGAACTCACTCTGTAGACTAGGCTGGCCTCAAACTCATAGAGATCTGCCTGGCTCTGCCTCTCCAGTGCTGGGATTAAAGGTATTCGCCACGACGCCCAGCTAAAAGTAAATGGGGGTGGGGGGGAAGAGGAGACTAGAAGTCTGTCAATGAACATGTCAAATACAACTGTAACTGCAAAAGACGTTCATTCTTTTCTTACAATCTGAAGCTACTTGTCTGGAAATAGTTACATAAGTAGCAGTCCCCTCTGAATTCAAACATTCTATCCTGGAGGTTCAAAATCAAGAAGTAAACAACTCCCAGGTCTCAGGAAGGTCCTGAAATGTAAAAGATTCATAATGCTCCCTCCCACAAGGCTATATAAGCAGTAGGATCCCCAGAGATTCTCTGACGGGTGGAACTGCCTCTAAGTCCTGCAATGAGCTCTAAGGATGCAGTTTCTGTGAGTCATCACCCGTGCTAGGATGGGCTTTCCTTTGATGCACCTGCCTTTGAGTTGTCCATGTTGCTAAAGATAACCCCCATCCATGCTACTGTAACTAGCCCTCGTAAACTTAATGGCTCACAAGCTAGACCTGGGTGGAATTGTTTCTTTGGTCTGTCATTGGTGCCCTGTCTGGGGTGAATAGACATTTATTCACATCACCCCAGGGAAAGTCCCACAACAAAGTACAGAAGAAGATAACATTAAAGACTGTTTCCAAGATGGGGAGATGGTTCCATGGTTAAAGCACCTGCTGCATTTGTGTGAGGGCAAGAGTTCAGATCCCCCAGCATGACAGGCTGCTACCTGTAATTCCAGCACTCCAGCGGCAGAGCCAAGGGATTCCTGCAGTGAGCCAAGCCAGCCTACACTTATCAGTGGACTCTGGAGTCTATTGAGAGGCCCTGCCACAACAAACGAGGTGGAGAACGACTGAGGAAGACCCTCAGGTCGCCTCACACACATGTGCACATTCACACATATAATGGTTCACATACCAAGCACACATATGTATGCATGAGGAGTAAAAAAAAATTTAATAGTTCCTTGGCCTTTCCACTAATATCAAGTACCAGCACCTGTTCTTACCTTAATATCTAGTGCACCCTCTGAGGACATTCAATGGATTTTTGGAGTTCAGAAAATAGAGTACAAACTTACTTGAAGAGAGAGGGAGAGAGAGAGAGAGAGAGAGAGAGAGAGAGAGAGAGAGAGAGAGAGAGAGACTTTCTTAGAAAAAAAATTATCTGGAGAAATGAGTGCTTTCCTGACATTTTTTTCATCTATCCATTTAACAAATGGATTAAATTATGGACAGGCTTCTCAAATACCAAGGTAGCTACAATCTGTTCTTAGTACCAAACAGCCCATCACTCAGGAAGAAAGAATGAACAAATAGAGAGCTAACTGTAATGCATCATGGTTGGAACTCATCTCTCACAGTGGCCAAGAACACAGACTCTGGCGTCCACTAGACTCGAGTTGAACTCTGTCTTCACTTCCAACTCCATTTGTGCAAGAACGTTCGCCTTGATGATGACCCGTTTGCCTTTTATATCACATCCACTGCCCAACATCCACTTTCTTACTTACCAAATCACAACTCTGTTCAATCTTCCCACGTTTGAAAAAGAAAGAAAG